TGGGAGTTCAAGAGTTCAACAGCCTGAAAGGTTGAGAACTGAACTTGCAGAGCTTATTGTAGTTACGTGCCACACTGATGTTTTCCACATGTTTCCAAACTTCTAATAATCTGCAAATAAATGTACTGTTTCTCAGACAAAAATTGAGAATTTTCGGCTTTCTTGTTCCCATAGAGGGAACGTTAAAAGATAACTTGATAATTTGTTTGTTTCCTTTTATCAGTGACAAAGTATTGTATTTTCAGAGGTTTTAAGATTGGTATACTTGGACTAAAAACTCCCGATCTGTCTTGTTTTTTCAGAAATATTGAAGTCAGGTTACTGAGAAGAGCTCAGTTCTGCTTTTCCTCTGTTGAGGTGGCTGAACTTTACCTTTGAGGAGGGAGAAAGGAAGATCTATTTTCTTGTTTAGTGTGAAGCAGAGGGAAAGCCTGTAAAGGATTATAAAAGCTTATCCTCTTTCCACCACCCTTGGGTATTTTATTTTGTTTTTTTTTTTAATTATTTCCCCCCCCCCCCCTTCACAAGTTCAGGTCTGGCAGGAAACCTCATCGAATGACCACAGTGCAAGGGCCAGAGTCAAAATGGAATCAGCTGAAAATCAAAGCAGATTCAAGTCGTCATGATTTTGTTTGTGAGAGGAGACAACTTTTCCTTTAACTTGACTTCTGTTGAATAATATTGTAAATAAAAGACTTTAATAAAGATCCAGCGTATGTGCTATGTCAGGTGGATGAGGTCACTTTATACTTGCTTTGAAGAACGTTTTTGCCAAAAACCTGAGAATTGGAAATTTTACATTTGGTTTCTTCCCTGCTCCCCCTCCAAGTTCAGACCATCTTGCATGGTATGGGAAAGGATCTGACTCAAAAGAAAAAAATAATAAATTGCTGTGGAGTGGTAGTAGCTGTCTGTCTTGGGATGGAGCTTCAGTTTATAACTGCACATTTCACTGCACGTTTCATCCGAGTTTGAACAAAGAGCAGGGACTCTCTCACCCAAATGTTACAGTTCCCTTTAACTGCCATGGTAAGTTAGTTTTACGAAAGGAGTAAAATATATTTGTACAGGAAAAAGACACTAGTGACAGCTTTCCTTGGGAAAAATGAAGAAGCTTACAAGACAATAGCGATCCTTATTTTCTTGCTTTCTGTTTTTAATGTACAGAAGTGAGCAATATGGAGCTGGTTAAAATACTAGCAGGTGCTTGGAAGGAGTTACCAGCATCACAGAAGCAGGTAAGTTTGTATCTTTGCCTGGTGTGCTTTGAACTCTACAGAGCCTTGGTGGTTGTTTTACTTGGTTTGGTGTTTCCTGTGTGTTTTTGTCTTGTGTGGTGTGGTTTTTGTTGGTGGTTTTGGTTTTTTTTAAACAGTAAAAAAGCACTTGAGTACAAAGGTTCAGACATAAAAACAATTCTGAAGGGAATTGTGAGGTTTGAAGTACTTGGGGGAAGGTGCTTTGCTATTTCTATGCATGACCTTGGGTTTAGTATTTTTAATCAGTTGCCAGAGACATGAGACCACTCTTGCTCTATGTGGCTGTAGGGCTGGGAACGAATATCTCACTTCTTTTTGAAGGGTAACGTGTGCATTGCATGTATAACAACCTAAGTATTGTGAAGTTGTCCTGCTTTCATATGTGTCAGTTGGGTGAAACCTCAGTTAATTTTGATGAAAGGACCGGCTTTGTTTTGTGCTGATTAGATAGTAGCCAGAGACTTGACTTAAGGGTCACCTTGAGTTTCATCTAACTTATTTTATGTGACGTTTCTTTAAGGGACAGTGTAAAACACTTCTATGAATTGCTAATCATTGCTGAATATAAGTGCTATTTATAGCAAAGTAACAATTGTTCTTCCTTGATTGCAGTTAGCAGTTAGATTCAGTTAGGTACTAATTGCAGCTTTCCAGCTAAAGTAATATCTTTGTTCAATAGAATTGGAGTGCTCTTATATCCCTTCTGGACTTCTGGCTCTACGTGCCTTACTTGAAAATTTGCCTTTCCATTTGTGTGCCTGAAATGGAGAACAGGATGGTGATTTTTCAGGTCTAACTGGGTCCATGGAGCCTGGTTCAGCTCTTCTTGGTGCTCTGGTACCAAGGCCATGATTTTATGGTGCTTCCATACCTGGTATTGGCTGGTGTAGGAGTGTGTTCGGTGACTGGAGCGCTTGTGTACTACAGTGGGTATACACGCTTCAAGAGTAATCATTGCAACCAGGCTTCAGCTTTTCCTTCTTGTATGGAAGATTGTTACTGCTTTGGGCTGCATCAGAAGATTCATCCCATGTTATCAGATTAACTAAGGTAATTCATGGGGAGAGCCCAGGTTTTGAATCTGCGTTCTTCTGAATCCTTTCTGCTAATCAGACAGATCTGAAATGGCTACTGTACTTTCCAAATCTTACATTTCAGGGTAGTTTGTAATTTTTTTGATTAGTAGGTTAGCATTAGCTTGTCCAATGGCCAGGTGCTTCTGACTGAAAGCATCTGTTTAAGGTTGATGATTGTTCGTGTTGTAGGTTTATGAGGAAGCTAGAAAGACAGACTGGCAAAGGTATGCAGAGCAGCTGGCCGCATATAAAGCACAGCTAACTCCAGCCCAGGCTGCGGCTTTGAAAGAAGAAAAGAGAAGACGTCTGGCAAGGAGGAGATCGTTCAAGGCAAAAAGAGTAAGTATTTTCAAGTTCAAGTTTCTTTTCTCTCAAGGAACTATTTGTCTAGTATACAGAGCAGAGTTGAAGCATGTTTAGAAATACAAAAGTGACTCTGAGAATAAAAAATAAAAAAAAGCAGACGACACCACAAACCCAAAACAAAACGCAAAAAACTCCATGGACTAAAATAATTGCTGGTGTTAGCAGATATTTTAGTGGCTTTCCTTTGCTCGAAGACCAGAACTAGCATGTATCTTTGTGCTTAGAGGTAGCTTCTCCATGCTTTTTTCCTTCCTATTCCTGAAGCTGCCTGAGAAATGAAAGATAATAGAAGACATTTGAACCAGCAGCACTTTCTTTGCTTGGGAAGACAACCAGAAATAGCTTCTCACCAGGGCCTTGTTACTTCAGAGGCACCTACAAGGTAGCAGCTGTTTGAAGTAGCCATGTTTCCTTCCTTTCTTTGGATTCTGCCACTTGGCTATCTGCGTGGCTGCTGGCGTGTTGAATTAGGGCTGCGTAGGGGTGTGTCTTATTCATACAGATCATCTTCCCTCTTAGCTGGCTTACATATAAATCCTGAGAGACAGAGCCATCTATAAAGGTACAATGTTATGGTTTGTCCAGTGGCAAAATAATTGAAGGGGTTACTTATTGCTTGTTTGTTCCTGTGAATTAAACTGCTGGTGTGACATTGCCCTAACTGGAAAAAGTTAAATTAATTTGGTTTAAAAGACCCCTACTTATAGGAAGTTTTTAATCCAAATGATTCTGCTGATCCTTTTTAGAGTATGGCACCACAAGGAATTTACCTGGCATACTTAATACCTAAGCAGATGTTAATTTGCAGCACCGGGGCTGCAGTGGGAGCGTCTTAGGGCTGGAGAAAACAGCAAGTGTAACTGCATCCATAACTTGCTGTATTTTCCCCCTCTCACCATCATGCCTGTAGGCAAAGCTTTCTGACAGCAGGAACCTAGTTCTGTTCCTGGAAATCTGGAAATCTGTTGGTTCTGTTCCAGGTTCTCACCTCCCACAAAATTGGGTGGCTGCCCTCTTCTCGGCAACAGTACAGTAATTCACACCAGAAGCCGCCACCTTACGAAGATAATAGAAAACCTGTCGTCATAACTTTCTTCCTGAGTGGAATTTAACATCAGTCTTTGGTTTCTGGAAGACTTAACTGAAGTTAGAATCAGTTTGAAATGCTTTTTTAAATTTCTGTGAAAATTCAAGTTGTTAGCTTTTCTTCATTTAGTTTAGCATGAGTCTTCACAAGTGGTGAGAGCATCTTGACATACAGTCCAGTTCACAGAAAAAAAACACCAAAAACTGAATTTTAGTCTGATTTTTGCATAAAATGTAAAGACAAATGGTAAGTTTAGTTTTGGAAAAATGCATGCTTGGTAGACTGAATAACTTTTCTTGCTGTTTCTAAAGGAATTGACTGTGCTTGGAAAACCTAAAAGACCTCGTACCGGCTTTAACATTTTTCTATCCGAAAACTTCCAAGAAGTTGAGGGCATTTCACCTGTGGTAAGCCAGGAAAGGTTCTTCTTTAAAATAGATCTATTGTATTCAGAAAATCTGTTTCAGATTCTGTCATTTTCAAAGAAACTGTTCAATAGTTCAGTATCTGGATTTTGCTTTGCTTACGTTGGTTTTTTTAGGCTGTGGTGATCAGGCTACGCTGCTGGTGGCATGTCCTATACAAGCTGCTGTGTGGGTATACAGACTTAAAATACTTGCGCTATTTTTTGCACTTCAGTGTTAACTGACTTCATCTGTTCCTTCTGCAAGGAGAGAATTCTGTTTCTCTCTGTTTTGGTGCAGAAAGATCTTGTTTTTTTCAAATGGTTGTGGTGGTCTGCTACTGTTTCTGCAGCCATGGTTGTTCTATTAAGCCCATGTGACTTTGTCCTTTTTTACGGTGGTTTATACTTGGCTTTGACTAGCGTGGCATTCATCTGTAACCCCCTGTGGTCAGTCTGCTGCTAAAATAATCCTAATGTATTGCATATTCTGTATCTTGTAGGCAAAGATGAAGCAATTGTTTGATGCCTGGCAAAAACTGTCCAGTTCTCAAAAGCAGGTATGTCACTGGGTTTTGATGAGGCTCTGATCTAATCGGAAAATTACAAACTCGAGTCACAATTAATAAATTCATACAAAATCTTGAACTTAGTTGCTCAAAATATAATACTGAGGAAAAAAGCTCTGAGATCTTATTTATGTGTCTTGAAAAAGATTGCCATTACTTTTATTCTAGTAGTGACCATTTCTTTCATAGTGTTGATGTGAGTGGGATAGGGTGGAAGTTCTGTATGCCTGGAAATGGATGCTGAGTGGCATCAGGGGAGGAAGGTGGAATAATTTGCAACAATTTGATTTATTTTTTTTTCTAATTACATATAACATTTTTAAATGCCAGCATAGTAATTTGCTGCTTGTGGAAAGACTCTTGACAGATAAAAGCAACAAAAATCTACAAACGATGTGCACACAGTAATTTATTATCTTTGGTTGTCTCGGTGATAGTTTTCTGCCACCTTTCTCAGTGTATTGAAATAATGAACCTGCAGACGGGTACATGAAAATTGAGGGGATGCTATACTGAAATCTAATCTAAACCTCCAGGTTTTCAAGTGTTCTGTACCTTATTGTTCTGAATACTCAGAACATGCACTGGGTTAATGTTTTTTTCTGTATAAAAAGGATTTCAAATAGTTGGCAGAAATATCTATTCCTGTTCCTTGCATAAGCCAGCTCTTTAAAACCAGTACTCAAATAAAAAGCTGTTAGTAGTAATGTAGAACGAACTTCCTCTTCAGGAATGGCCAGCTGTTGACAAAGACATAATTCAATGCTAAAGTTTTGTATTTTTTGCAACTTCAATAGTTTTTGAGTTTTCTGGTGGTGAAAGTGAACGCCTGGGAGGTGCACTGCACGCGTCTTGTAGCAAAGTCACCTTTGTATCAAAGGGGAGGCCGTGACGTGGCAGTTATCCTGACAAAGCCCCTTCTGTAACTGTCAGTACGTAATTTTCCTCCAGCCATACCTGCAGCTTGCTGAAGATGATAAGGTTCGGTATGAAAACGAAATGAAGTCATGGGAAGCAAAAATGGTTGAACTCGGACGTGAAGACCTGATACGTTCCAGAAGGCAAAAACCAAGAAAGAAAACTGATGAAACTGCAAAGAAAGCTGAAACAGCCAAAGCTTCCTCACAGAAAAACAAGGCAATATTGAAGTGGAAAAAATCGGAAGAATAAAACGGTTAAGTATTTTATATTTAATCTCCTTTGATTGTCTTGTCTTTATCCTGCTGTGTTAATGCTGCAGTCAGCATTAGCACTGAAATTTGGAAAAGCCATAAAGGGCCCATTGGAGAAGCAGGTGATCAGTGTCTCGGAACTGACTGAAATAATCATTGCAGGTGTAGCCCAAGCTGTACAACAATAACCGGTTAATCAAGCTGTGAATAGTGATACTGACATCAGCAGAGACCTCCAATAATGGTAGATAACAGCTAGCTCTTATAAGATATTTTTTATGAAAGTGAGAATATTCTACAATGTTGCCACCTAAATTCTGTAAATATGAGCTGAAATCCAAGTTCATGCTGCTGTGTTTTATTCCCCCCATGGTATTGGTAGTGAAGAGAAATGTTCTACATTTCAACAAAAGGCACAAGAAATGTAAAATACCAACTTTTATTTTATGCATCTGTCTTTTTGTATGTATCAGTCTGTGTATACCACTTACATGACGATGAATTAAAGACCATATGAGTTTTGTATAAGCATATCTTTATTGGGACTCTTATTCCATGGTTTTGTTCGGATACATGCAAACGCTTTTGGGTTCCTGTTGTCATATTTGTGGCAGCCTGGAGGGAAAGGAAAAGGTGTGAACTGTTAAAGAGCTTTGAGTTTTGGTGTAATAAATACAGGTATTTTGAAGAGCTGCTTGTTTTCTTTCCTGGGGTCTCTCTTAGTGAAAGTGTCATAGGTATTTCAGAGAATCTGTTTTCAGAAGCAAGTCGGGCTCTTTCGGTAGTTGGTGGGTGTCATGCATCCTGAATGACCTGCAAAGCCAGTTCTTGTTTGCCAATGGGAAGTGGAAAGCCAAAGAGGAGGCCCCTGCCTTTTTTTTAATTTTATTTGATTTTTTTAAATAATTTGCTGATGGTAACTGCTGCTTCTGCGTGCTCTGGGCTTTCCTGCTGTCCAGGAGGACACATACTGATGTCACAGGCAGGAGGCTCTTGCTTATAGGTGGGTTCCCAGCATATCCCCGAGAGGGAGCGGTGTGAACCCAAACCACTGCACCTCGGTCCCCGCGCCTGTGGGGCCACCCGGCCGGGCACAGCCCCGCTGCGGGCGTGTGCCCAGCTCCTGCCCGGTTCCTGGTCTGCAGGAAGGCTCCCCTCTGTCGGGGTCGGTTCCGTTCGGGCAGGTGCTGACAGCTTCCCTCAAGCAGCCCACACCTCCCTTCCGCCGGCCGCCCTTC